TTTTTTTATGACCTAAATAATTCAAAATAAACTTTAATTATATTTTCTTAAAACTGTACCAAATTATTTAAACAAGTGAAAATTTTTAAGTATACTGAATTTATTATTATTAACATAAAGATCGAAAAAATGTATCTCTCGTTGTCTAGCTGTACAAAGTAGGAAACTCAAGTGGAATGAGCATAGCAAAAAGAACTTTAGAAAATAGAGGCCTTTCTAAAAATGTTGTTTAAACAAAGATCTTAGAGAAATAAAAGGATTTTTTTTTTTTTTAAAATCATAATCCCCCAAAGCAAAGCAGTAATGCCACTAAAACACAAAGGGTTACGGGTTGTGGGAGGATTAGGAACAGAAACATTAATGATGTGAGTAAAAAGAAAAGAGAGTAATCAGGTGATAGTAATTGATATTGCGTTTAAATTTTTGCAGATTAAAGTTGACTAGAAAGCATGGAGTTGGAAGAGAGTTCCACAAGCTAGAGAAGAAAATGTTATCAAATTTACAGCTTCATCTAGCCAGCTCAATTGTAAATTGATGAGATCTCGGCATCAATCTCATACTGTACTTAAATTAAAAAAACTCTTGGTTGCATAGTGAAGAGCTTATTTGAACAATTACAATGAAAGTATTTATAGAAAAGACAGAAAGGCAACCTTACAGTGGTGGGAAAGTGACTGCAGCTGAGCCGCCAGATCAGGACCAATAATATTGCTGATTATTCTTTGGATCTTATCAAGGAGCTCATGGTAAAGGGGCACTGGACCATATATGCCAGCAATATTCTAAGCATGTTTGAATGGCATAGATATGTAATATAGGTTCTGGAGAGAAAAATTGTCTCACCCGACATAGTGAACTAATTTTCTTAGCAGCTGACCTAGCAATGGATTCAATATAGTCTTTCCACTTCATATCAACAGAGAACGTGAGCCCAAGAAAGTGCAATGAGTCATTTTCCTGAAGGTTAGCATCAGCCATACTGATGGAAGTCAGTGAAGGTGTCTCAGATGATAAATGGAGAGAAGTTTAGTTTTAGAGGCATTAAAATTAACAAGCCATCTTTTGCTCCAGTTAGTGATGGGCTTGAGGTCGTTTTTGACATCGGCTGCCATTTTGACCTTGTCACACTGATAAGCCTCCATTTCTATGACAACGTGACTTTCTTGGTTCTGTTCGTAGGAGGATATTTGGCTAGGAATCTAAAAAAAAACATATTTATTACACTCTGCACAGCATTGAGTGATGTGTCTGGTGATAGAAAGAAAATAATCCAAGTAATTAGAACAATTTAAATTGAAAACTCCATGTAATGACAACAAAGTCCATTTCAGCTAAGAGAATATAATCAACTGAGACCAATTCAGAAGTGAGGATAGTGAGCCAGCCAAAATACTATTACCATGGCAACATACACATCTAACTTTAGCTTTACTTTTTTCTCCCACATCTCACCCTACCATCTTTCCTTCCTTAAAATCCTAAGGGAAAGCCCAAATAACAGCATCAGCAGGAGCTGCTTTTCACATTCATTAGGTCATTCACCTTTCTGTACAATACTGTCAAGTGTTCAAACTATCAAATATTAATTTATATATATTACAGGTTATTCAAAAATTGTATCCACATTTAATTCGCTGTACTGGGTGTGATGATAAACTACATCCAGCAGCAAGGCCTCTGATCAGGAGGTTTTGAGTAGCGTGGAACCACCTCTTAATTGCTGGTGTTCCCAGATCTACCTTGACCCGGGGTGGTAGTAATTGTTAGGGTCCCAGCTATGGGCAAATAGTTGACAGCACAACCTGACTCAAAACACTATGAAAGTATAAAAATAAATTTTAATAACAGAAATACTTTTAAAAAAATAGTATCAGCAATAAATATTTGAAAAAAGAAGATATTACCAGAAATAAAAATCTTGTTAGCATTAAATAACCCATTGAGGTTAATATGACACAAAATAAAACAAACCAAACTATACATTTTTGGAAAAAATATTACTAGCTATACATTTTTGAAAAAAAAGGAAATTTTGTTGGCATTAAATAACCCATTGTCGTTGATATACCGTAAAACAAACCAAACCACATTTAATTGGTATGTCTTATCTGAGTTTTTGATTTTTGTTTTTTTGCCCAACTTAGATATGGGGGATAACTGAATGACGAAATAGACCAATGAAATGTGATGCATTACATACTTCAAAAGAACTTCTCCAGACTAAATTGTTTTTAATGATGAAATTTTATATAAAAGTGAACATAAGTCAACATTAGAAGTGACAGTCTGTTTCATGCTTGATGCAATCGTCAGGCCACTTGTCTTTGCATTGTATTCCAAATGAAACACTGTCTGTTTAAGTGTTGACTTCTATGTTTACTTTTATATTTCAACTCTATCTCTGATATTGAGCACCTTATCCCATAAAATATAGCATATCTTAAGACTATATTTCTTTTTTTATATATATATATATATATATATAGGGAACAACAATACAAACATCACTTATCATACATGGAGGGAAATGCTGAGAATGCAGCAACACCTGACTTTAAATTTAAAATTTCTGGTATTCAATGTGTCTCGCCAATTTTATTCACCTTCCTAATGATGATGTTTTTATTGCTGTTTGTAAATATCCCAGATTATAATCGTAATAGTTTTAAGAAAGGTGACATAAATTTACCTTTGAAGACTTAAAAACTAGTGCATTTTCTATGCATTTTGGCAGTAATAAATTAGTTTCTCTTTTAATTAAAAGTAGGCATGGTGGAGTGATGGATTGCGGCTCAGATAGAAAAATCGGAGAGACAAGTTCAAATTCCAATTGGATCCATTACATTCATTTACATGCTAATACCCTTGGGAAAGGTATGACTCCTTTTCTCTGCCCAGCTATGGTTGAATAGTAGGACAGATTGGTTTCTTGGATGGCAACTGGTATACCACAGAAAGAAATGGCAACCTACTGCGGGGAAAAAATCTGCCTCGTCAGTCATGCATCAAAAGATACATGATTGCCTAAGCATGTATCACACATAGCACATGACTGACTGACATTCTCTAAAAGAGAGAGTAATTTATTGAGACAAAAATGCATAGAAAGTGAACAAATTTCCAAGTCTTCTATGGTAAATTTTTAACAAAAATAAAGCTGATTGAAGTCAGCAAGCTCAATTGGATGCCAGGAATTGAAAATATAAATTCAAGCATTCCTGCATTTTCAGTATTTTTTTCAATATGTCACTATAACTGATGTTTATTTGCATTTTATTCTCTTCCCATGAGTCCTTTGGAAGGAAGAAATGTATCATATCAGATTTTTACGCTTAGTCTGTTGCACAAAATATATATATATCATATTCTCACACACACACACACACACACACACACACACACACAACACACATATATATATATATATATATATATATATATATAGAAATAGTCTTAAAGTGTGCTATATTTATGGGATAAAAGTGCTCAATCTCAGAGACAGAGCATGTGTAAAAGTGAACATTGGAGTCACCACTTAGAGGTGACAGTCTATTTCATGCTAGACACAATCATCAGGTCTGACGATTACGTCTAGCATGAAACACTGTTGCCTCTAAGTGTTGACTTCAATGTTCACTTTATATATATATAATATTCAAATTAGGATTGACTAGATCAGAACCTGATACAATGATAAGATAAAGAAAAAGAGGAAATGTTTATTAATTTAACATGTTTACATGTATCACTTAACGGTTCATCAGGGAATGAGATATAGAGAAGAAAAAGACATTCTAGTATTTTTACTCTTCTGTTGTTTAATTTTCATTGACTAATCCAGTTTCATGATTATTTAACTTGTTAAACCAACATTAGTATAATTTGTGGTATTCTGAATTCAAAGAGACTATGTATCCATTCAAAGTTTAAAGAAATTAATGGATTCCAAACGTAACTGAAAAACCATAAATATTGCTTTATTTATGCAAGTGTATAATAATTCTAGTTTGTCTATGTGGAATTCAGATGATAATGGATATATGTTAAGTATGTGTTGTAGTTATAGTTTGTTGTTTTTTTTTTTTTGCATGTTAATTTGGGAGTGTTTTTATGTACATATCATTTATTTTAGATAAACATACATAACATTCTTTGAGAATGGATCTAATAAAGTGATGTAACATAATGTTTTTGATTTGTGTCCATAGATGGCTATATTGTTGTTAGTAGACACTCAAAATACTGTTTAATGTCTTTTACAAATGCCACTCTAATTAAAAAGAACATAATTCTTTACATAGTACTTTCAAAGCACACACACACACATTGATTATCAAACTCCCATCTTGATTTTAATTTTCTTTAAATGATCTTAAATTTAAAAAATAGGTGTTTGAACTTTTCACTTAAGATATAATGGACAAATATGCAAGTTGGTACATAGAGAGAATTTATTTTTGACACCCTATACATTTGCAAAAGAAAAAATGTGAATAACTTGCATCTTGAGGAGGGCATCAGTGTTCAATGAACAAACAAGCTAAGATATCTGAATGTTATTTTTTATTATCAACTTCAAACACTCGTATATTAACAAACTACTTATCATTTACTTGCCTTTTAATTATAAGCTTAAAAGATTATCTCATTGTATAGAATCATTTTCCATTGGTTGTTTGGAAATTGGCTGATGGATAAGGTGTTTTTGTTTATATGAATAAGCTCAATTTTTGCTGGTTGACCTGTGCTAATAGTCTTTTGCTAAAACAAAAACCAATCTTAACCATATTGCTAGCACGACTTGACCATCCTTTGATTCCTTATTGTCAGAGACCTCTCTATTATTGGTCTTTCGACTTTGTCTCAATCATGATAACCTGTTTTTATTTTTTTTTTTCTAAAGAGTTCTCTTCCTTCTGCACTCCTATAATAACCAACTAGTTTGCTTTTCTTTTTCAACATTATATTTATTTCGGAGTGCAAATTCTTACAATTAAGATTCTCATGTGATCACTGAAGTTAAGCAATGTTAAGCCTGGTTAGTACTAAGATGGGTGACCACTTGGGAATAGCAGATGCTGTAAGCTTGTATGTGCAGGTAGTGTAATGAATAATAGCTTGGAATTGTTAATTGGAGAGCAGAGTTCCAATTCGCATTTGGTTTGTTATATTCACTTAGGTGCAAATACCTGTCGTGAAAAGTATTCTCCTCCCAGCCATGGGTTAATTAGTAAGACTTGTATCATTAAACCATTATTATCTCCAAAAAGAAATTCTTACAATCTAAAAATATTTTCTGGCTTTAAATAATCTACAAAGGGTTGATAAACCATAGTAAATGACTCAATCAATAAAACTTTTATGTAAATTCATAGAAATTAGAGCATAAAAAATTGACAAAAACAGTTTTAACTATAATAGGTTAGAATTTATATGCATGCTGTTATTCAAGTTTCCTATTGAAACCATCTGATAATCAAAGAAACAAACACCTGGTACAAGATAAGTACATCTGAGATTATATATATATATATATATATATATATAGTATTTAATTCAACCAACAATATCTGCCAGTTTAATTCTTTTATTGTATTTTCTTTCCCAATTTCTGAATAAGCTGTTACACATCTGGGTCAAAACTGTGGCTGCTCACCTGTCCAAAAGAGTTTTTTTTTTATTATTGATTTTGTTTTTATTTGAGTACTTTCAGCTCTAGTGGGTTATCCCACTTGACTTTCATAAAAAAAAAAAAAAACATTGCTAGGGGGCGCTCCTTAAGCCTACAAATAGGTAATGATATTCTCACTCATTCTCTTTCCTCTTTTACAACTCTGGCTGTAAGATATAGCTGCACATGGGGTGGAAAAAGAAATTGTCCTCCACTGGGGCACATTCACTTTCAATGTTTTAATTTTCTCTTATGATATTTTTGTACTTGAACACACATGTCTATCATGTAGGCATACATAATTTCCACACATACACACACAAACATACATACTCTAAATGCTTTATGAAACTAGTCCTTAAATGTTTTCTTCTTTTTATTGTAGTTGTAATACTTTTGTTTTATACTTAATATCAGAAAGAGGCAGCTGAACTTTCTGGGACACATAATGAGAAAGGAGGGCCGAGAGAATCTGATACTCGCAGGTCAAATAGAGGGAAAGATAGACCAGGGAAAGCAATGTATGATGTACCTAGCAGGCTTAAGCAAATGGATGACAGAATATGGCCTGGAGGAAGTGGCAAAGGGACAAAACTTATTGAAAGCTACAAGGGAAAGGAGGAAGTGGGGAGCCATGATTGCCTACATCCTGACGGGACACTGCACATAAAAAGATGACTGTGGTTACAACATGCATTGAAACACTATTTACATTATTCAGACTATTGTCCCCATCTTTGTTGCAATATTTATTATGTTTTGGCCGTTGTACATGCCGGCCTTCTTCAGGTGGTTGGAATGTCAAACTGAACTCAAATTTCGCTCACTCGGGTAGACTTTTCTAGTTTCACATGCCATGTTTAATGGATGTCAGTTATCTCATGTTAATTCCCCTCTCCAAGTTCTCCACTGCCTTAACTGGGTATTGAACTCTCACTCTTTGGGTCCTATCACTGGATCTAACCAATGTCTTTATCCACTGTGCCATGTGTCTTTGAGGATCACCTGAAGAAGGCCAGAGCGTACAAAGGCTGAAACATTGTAATAAATATGGCGACAAAGATTCAGACAATAATCCAAATAATGTAAATAGTGTACATAATACCTCATCTCAGAAATATAGAGAGATACATGCATTGATGTTTGTTTATATTGTTTTGTGTTGCTCATTTATTACTTGGACTCACATTCAAGTCTGCAATAATTGTTATGGGAAAAATAATACCAGGAAATGTGTTTTCTACATAAACACAATGGGCATTCCCACAATACTCTCTTCATCTTTACAAAAGTACTTAAACAAATGCTTGCAATTTTGACCCAGATGTACAACAAATTTGGAAATTGGAGCAATTAAGCAAACAGTTGAATTGTGCAGGTCATATAAGAGTGGTTGTTATATGCCATACCTATGAACACTAATGGGTATATACCAATCCTCATAAATACTATCGGGGTAATATGCTGTCTAAGTAGTCCACCACTAGCAGTGGTTTACCTATTTCACGCAGCTGGCGAGTATTGTATTTTGTTGAGGCTATAAAGATTACCATTTCATTTCCAACCTCCGTTTTGGTTATTCCTCATTCAGTAACCTTTTCTAGGTTACAATGGTGGTTCAGAATGAGAAATCAGTAAGCCAAATTTGAATTCCGGTTGAGTTTGTCATATTCACTTTCATGCAAATACTCTTGAGAAAGGTAGGAAAGGAAATGTTCACTCGTCTTGTCTCAGTTTTGTGAAATTACATCTGCTCTTCCAGAGACTTTGTGAAAATTTTCCCATCAAGTCTACTGAAGAGTGGATGTAATTGCATGAAAATCTGAATAGAGACAGGATAAGTGAACACTGAATTTTATTTATTTCCATTAATGCCTTCTATCTCCTCTCTCTCTCTTAATATTGAACACTATAATTACAGAGACTGATTGACTGATAAAAACATACTCTTCCAGAAATATATATATATATATATATTAATATTTGGTATATTTATGGTTTAAAATTGTTTGGTATAAGGGATACAATGTGTATAAATATAAAAAGTGACTGTCAATTTCATACCTGAAGTATTCATTAAAGCGTATATAGTGTAGACAGAACAGGCCTGTGGAGAAAGAAAAATCTGAATTCATATCCCTGTTTTTTTGTAGGCATTCTTTGGCTGGAAAATTACATGAAAGCATCTCTAATATAATGCAGTCACACACACACACACACACATATATATATATATATATATATATATATATATAAAATATGCATGCGTGCACTCTCTCTCTCATATATATATATATATATATATATATATATATAATTATTTTTTTTAAAATATTATTCCTTTGCTACATAAGAGTTCTCATGTTTCAAAGACAAAAATTTCATAATTGTTAAAATCAAAGTATGAAGCTCTGTTCCATCCTCAAGCAAAAATTTAAGAATTTTTGCTTGAAGATGAAACAGAGCTTGATACTAATTTTAACAATTATCATATTTTAAAACATATTTATAAGTTAAGCTCTAGTTTTGTATGGAGCACTGTTTTTTTAAAAATTAAAATACTAAAGAACTCTGGATTATTTACCTAACATGTTCTACTTGTCTATATATTTACACACACACACACACACACACACACACATATATATATATATATATATATATATATATATATATATATATATATATATATATCTTTCTTCAAACATGTTTAGCTGAATAATCTTGACATATTGTGTTGTTTTTTATTTTTATCCTCTCACATTCTCTGAACAGCTTCTTAATATTGATATTAAATTCTATACGTATTGCACCATACTTTCTTTTATCTTCCCAATTACTTTCAATCTCATCTGAGGTCTTCATAAGTGAACTGGCTAAGACAATAATTAATATAATTATAGTTATGAATTTTCTTTTGTAAATGCACATGAAACCTGCTCTGTTATAATTAATTTAAAAATTATGTTAAAGCTATTATGTTTTCTAAAGTTTTTATCTAGAGAAGATAACTTTATAAAAATTAAAATAATCGAAATTAATTACAATCTAAGTATTTTAAAAACATTACTGTTATAGATATTTTAAAACATTGTTGCTATACTCATAATTAAGCTTATTTAATGTTGGTTGTATTTTTCTTATATAGAGAGCCACAAGAATTTTAAATTTTTGCTTTTGATTTTCATGGTGGAGTATACTTGTAATGTCAATTAATATTTCTCTAAATTGTGAATGCAGACAGGAATGTTTCTTTTAAATGTTGGCAATCACTTCTGAAGATGATCTCAGATGAGATTGAATGTACTTAGGGAAAATAAAAGAAATGAAAGAAAAAGTATGGCATCTTTTTTAATGGATTTAATATCAACATTAAGAAGTTGACCAGAGAACTCAAGAGGATTAAAATAAGAATAGACATATGTCCAAATTATCCAACCAAACCTGTTTATTTATATATATATATATATATATATATATATATATATATAAATAAAAGCCTTTTTATTATATATATATATATATATATATATATATAGCTTTATCTTAATTTAAGGTGAGTCTTTGCAATGTTGTACAAGTTTTAAATTTTGTACAGATATTTATAGTCATACTTTAACAAGTTGACATTGACAGCCATCACACACACTCACATATGACTCAACTTGAATGATAGCAAATAAACTTTGCACAGTGTTACTAATATGTCAGAGAAGACAGGTGCATCAGAGGTGGGACCTAAAAAATCGCCTCCCTAACACTGAGTGAAAATATGCACCTCAAAAGATATCACTGGCTGCTTCAGATATGGAAAAAGTGCTTGATCGACCTTGGGAATTTCAAACTTGGGACAAGATGGAAGTTTCATAGTTTCATAAGATCCTACTTAAGAGGGGGGAAAAGCAAAATTCTCTTTCTGACAGCAACTACAATAAGTCTGGAATTGAATAAACAGATATTACATATCCGTCTGAACAATGATACTATATATTGTTTGTGCATAAATTTGAGTTAAATCCAAGGTTATATTAGGTTGAGTCATAGATAATCTCTGTTTTGGTTTATCAAAATCATTCTTCAAAAAGTACAATTTTTATATATATATATATATATATATATATATATTACACATATAAAATATTATATATTATTTATATATATTACATAAAATTATTATATTGTATATTATATATATAATACACATATTATATATTTTTTTGATATATTACATATATTATTATATTATTGTATATATATATATATATATATATATATATATATTATATATATATATTTTATATATATATATATATATATATATATATATATATATATATATATATATATATATATATATATATATAGCATAATGAAAGCCACGTATACTTTCTTAATATGTATATATAAAAAGTTT